AAAAAAAAAAAAAAAGAAAAAAAGGAAGGAAATACAGCCGGTCTTTTTGCTTATTGTTGTCTTGGTCCTCATAGTTTGTGCTCCACATGAATTTGGTATCTAACCATGAAACCGCAACAGTTTGATCCTCAAGCTGGGAATAAGATAAACAACAAATCGCCAAAAATGAAAAAAGAAAAGAAAAGAAAAAGATAAATAACAAAGAGTCCTGTGTTTCACTAGTCATCGAACAGGGAACCTCCTCGAGTATCAAAGCCCCTTTCCATTCTTGAAGATGCCTTCCTATAATAGTTAGTGTTTTATTTTTTATATTTTAGATTGTAAAACATATTTTTGAATAAATAAATTTATTTCTCTTTCCAAGGTTTAGGATGGATATTTAAAAGCTTCACTTTTCTTCTTCTTCTTTTTTTTTTGTTGTTCAAATGAAAGCTTCACCTTGAATTTAAAGCTTTTTTTGTCGAAATTGTACCTTTTATAGTAGTGTTCTGTGTAATGATGTATTTAAAATTATTATAAAGTATTGTGATTGTACATTAATATTTTGCTATGAAAAAAGTTATATTATTATTTAATAAGTATTTTTAAAAAAATCTTAAACATTACCATGACTACAAAATTATACAAGTCATCAATTAAAATTAATTTAATTATTATAAATTAATATTTTTATAAGACGTTGTGAGAAAACAACTCCAAACACAATTAAATCTCCTGTGGTTAGCAACTCAACACTCAAAAACTTTTCATTTTCTTGAATGCACTAAGGATTCATATGAGACACAATCTTGAAATTACTTTGAAAGAAAGATTAGTTTTAAAATATAAAAACTGGTTGGAGAACATTCTAAAAGTACAATCTCAATAAGATCTCACTAGGCTCTCAACTTTCAATAAATGAGTCTACTCTACGGTCTTATGAAATGTTATGATATTTGGAAGTATTGAATCCAAACTCTGGCTAAATAGGGAATTCAAATATTATTTACTTCATAATTTTGATGTATTAAAATGGAATGTTAAATGTCTCAATGTCGTTCTTACATGTTTTAAAGTAAATTGGATTTAGAGACTTACTTTTGGTGGTTTAGTTTCTAGGAAAAAACATTCTTGAAAGCTTAATAAATTTTGACTAGCTTAACTCAATAATTCAAGCACAAGAATCAAGAACAAAGTATAATAATTTTTTTATGTTCTGATGAATTATAATGAAAATTAATTGATTACATTACTCAAAAAGTGTTTTTGAGAAAAAATCTCTTATGGTTATCATTTTAGAAAAGTTATTAAAATTGAGCAATGTAATCAATTATTAAACAAAAACAATAAATTACATGCAAGACTTTCATTTCTCTCAAAAAGTTTAGGCAAACCAACTTCTTTCAGCTTGGCTTCTCATGAAAAACCTTTCTGGAAAAGTCTGTAACCAAACATAGCCCTATCAATCGATTCAATACCATCTTTTGGATGTATCAATACTCACTTGTTAAAGCTTAAATCGTCAAAACTTTCTGACTAGGTTTTATGGATATTATGATTACATATCAATAGAATTCACCTTTATTGAACTACTATGTTTAGTAGTTCTACTGAATCGAGCTTTTCAAAATGTTGATACTATCATCATTGACAATAAGTCAACACAACTTCCTGACATAGGAATATTGATACCATAAATTTTTAATAAAAAAAAAGTGTTTGTAATTTAAAATTGTATTAAACTGTAAAATATCAAACATTAAATTAGAAAAAAATGCTTTCATTCAATGATTGATTTTGTATGCAGTTTGAATTGTAAAACACTGAACTTGTCTTGTATATTGATATTACAATTGAATTCGCATACAATGCATAATCATAAGCATGCCAAGCAAAGGACACACCAAATTTCACCCTAACAATAGCTAAAATATATACATAAAAATAGACAAACTAAATTGTAAATAAGCAGGTAGGTAAGTAATCACATCTCCAATATGTCATCGCTGTGAAAGAGAAATATCTTCACCACAATAGTCTGGGCATGGGAAGAGAAATTTTGGAAATGCAATACAAGTGGATTGTGAACTTGCATTTTGATTCTGTGCATTCAAGTGCCAAATTATAACAATACTCGCCACAATTGTTGCATATAGGGTAATAATAGTACCTCTTTTGCACAAAAGTAAGAGGATGTGGATGAGCATCATTCCTATAGGTGCTTCCTAGCTTGACAAATGGGTATTTACCAAGTACGCATAGAGGATCAACTGAGAAGTCACAAATTGTGCAGTAATAGTACTAGTGATTCAAATCCCTTTCCTCTTCACATATATCACAATAACATTGATCTGGAATTTTGGATGATTATCATCACGATACAAGAGCATGAGAGGATGTTCATCATACTTGTGTTGGGCCGTATGTGGCAGTGTAACACATCTACAACATAAGATAGAGTCATAATCCTTGCATCTAAAGCCAGGGTAACGCCTCTCAGAGCCACAAGCATTGCATTTGCCTTCACATTTGTGGTTAAAGAAGGGGTGCTCATGTCCTTGGAGAGCAAGGACTTCAGGAATAGCATAACATTGAAGGTAGAGATCATTGTCGCATTCATTGCAATGGTAAGCAAATCCACTACTATAAAAGAGACAACTGTCACATTTGAAAATGGTATATGAGTGGAGAGTGAGAGGATGTCTAGTGCGCCAATATCGAATCTTCATTGATAACTCAGCACAACTTTTATGGAGAAAGAAATCACATTGATCACAACAGTAAAACAAATTTGAGATGGATAGCATGCAACCATTGCAACATCTATTACCTTCAACTTCACCATCATTAAGCTTTAGCTTTAAGCTGTGTTCATGACTAAAATGCTGGATCTCTCTGGTAAAGTCATCCCCTGCATCTTTGATCACCTTGAAACCATATGAGAGCAAAGTTTTATTGTGCTTTTGATTCCATCTTCTAGCTCGAACTCTTTATCCAAATAATGTATATCTATAGCACAATTCACATGAACAACAAAATGGCAATCATTGCAATAGTAACTCCCATATTCCACATTCACTTCTCTTCGACAAATTCTACAATTTCTTTTTTTAACTTCAATTTCTTGGAGGAAATAGATATGGTGAACGGGGTGATCATGCAAAGTTATTTTGATAGTGTGTGGGAGTGAAATGCAATCCTTATGAACCACATGATTGCATTCAATACATGTACAGGGATTACAATCTCCATTAGTGCCACATGCATCACAAATAAATGAAATGGGCTTTGCTAGAAGAGTAAATGGATGTTCATGACTTTCAGATGCAAATCTCTGTGAAAAGGTGTACTTAATCTTAATGCCAAACATGCAAGGAGAATGGTAATAAACAAAACCCATAATGGGTTTTCTACATAATTGACAAGAACATTTTTCTTGATGAGGTGGTAGACTTGCTAGAAGGACAAGAGGGTGTTTGCGATGAGTAGGGTGGCGAATCTGAAGTGGTAGTTCAACACATTTCTTGTGAAGATAAAACTCAAAATCAAAACAACAGTATATAGGACCTGATATTGGTTCCTCACATGCGGAGCAAGAAACTTCTTTTGCTTCAATATAATGGTTTTCAATGAAGATCAACGGATGTGCATGACTAAAATGTTGAAGTTTTGAAAATCTCCAATAACTAATTGTGGAATGAAAGCACAACTAACATCAAGGCCAAATTGACAAGAAGAATAGCGATAAACAAATCCCTTACCCTTTCGACAGAAACTACAACAGAACTTGCTAGAGACATCCTGCAACTTTGCATCAAGGATAAGAGGATGTTGGAGGTGAAGAGGATGATTGATCTCATTTGGTAGCCCAGCACATGTCTTGTGAAGGTAAAATTCACACTGACTACAGATATAACTTGAACCAGTTATCAATTCTCTACAAGCCGAGCAAAAGGCTTCTTTACTTTTGCTCTTTTCTTCCATCAGTACTAGCGGATGAGCATGACTACAATGTTGAAACCCCATCCCTTTGCTTTGCCAATTCTCTATGAAGAGGAAACAACAACAGTGTTCCAACATTTAAATATCAGTCCTAGAACTAAAAACAAACTACCGAGTCGTTCCAACATTTAACTTCAATGTTTGAAAATGTCCACTTCCTTGGAGCTTTTCGTGGGGAAGAAAGTCAGGATGACCTTTGCGGATGGCTCCCCTGCCTTCTCCCTGCTTCAGGTATTGGTATAATGTCACAATTAAGTCACTTTAACTTCTACCTAAAAAATGAAATTAGTTGAAAGTACTGTCTTCGTTATCGGACTCTTTCAAAATATTCCCCTTTTTCTCCAAATGGCTCCAATTTCCGAAACCAAGACACCAGGTTTATTGTTCACCATGTGTAAACTATAAAGAAAACTTTTCAAGTATTAATTAAAATAAGGTACCTAAAGCAGGCATGCTGCACGCAATGAAGTTACGTAGAGCCGTAGAATTTTCGAAGTTCAAACCGCTTTACCACTATTTTTCAGTTAAAGTAAACCTGCTGCCTGCATGCAATGAAGTTAGGTTGAAGATTCAAACTTCAAACCACCTACCACTACTTTTCAGTTAAAGTAAATTAGTATACTATTTTAAAAAAAAATTTAAAGTAAATTATCACTTTAAAAATATAAAGAAATTAAATTAAATTTAATAGTTGACATCAATTATTACTTTTAAAGCATAATAAAAAGTTGATATTAATTATTAAATTTGAATTAATTTTTCTAAAATAAGATTTTGAAAAAAAATTTATTTCAACTCAAAAATATTAAAAGACATTATGCACATAACACGGTAGGTCAGTAGCACAACAGATGACGACCCTGAAATGGTAATGGTAGAGATGAAATTACCATGTAGCAAAGTACTGCCTCTTTACCAATGAAGGGTTGGATTAAGTGGTAAGCGGCTTGTTCTAGTTTAAATAAGATCTTGAGTTTAAGATTTTGTGTACACAGCAGTTTTCGTTGGAAGACTCACTCACCATTCCCAGATGCGCGACTCGAATCGATCCGGATTAATCGAAGCGAAGTCCCGGATACCGAGCAAAAAACCATAAAAAACAAAAAAAGTACTGCCTCTTTTGGCAAAAATATATTTATTTTTTCAGTTTATGTTTTTATTTTTTTTTATACATCTCAATAAACCGTACAAAAAAAATGATTTCTTATTTTTTTAAAATCTCTTTCTGTTTAACTCAAAATTTAAAGTTAAAATCTTCGTTTTGAAATTTTAAATTTTTAATCATTAAATAACCATCGGAAGTAGTTTATGTTTTTATTGTTGTAAGGAGTTTTTCCTTTTTTATATATATATATTTTTTAATTTTGCACATTTAATTTGATATTGCATAATTTTACTAGATATATAAAATTTCAGGCATTATTGTTGAGAATTTTGCTTTCGATTTGAGGTTCTGACAGAATAGCCTGGGGGTTGGTAAATAAGATTGGTACTATTGTCAAAAAATTAAAATCGGCACAAGATCAGCAACAATGATCAATTGCCAAAAATTGTCCAGAACTCATCGCCCAACCATAGCAAAGAAGAGCGAACTGATCGCCAGAACGCAATCCGGTCCTCTTCCAGTTCCCCCTCCGGTATACCTGGCAAAATTGGATTAAATTCGAAAATCCGACCCAACCCATACGGTGTGGGTTAGGTGATGGGTTAGGGTTTTATGTGTTAATATAAAATTTGAAATAACCCAAACTGAAATTATCCAAACCCGAATGAGTCGGATCATCTGAAATAAGTTGAATATTTTTTTATTTATTTTTATTAGATTTTTAAAAATTAATTTTAAATTTTAAATTTCTTAATCCTAAAAGCATAAATAAATAAAATACATAAACCCTAACTTCCTTTCAATTTCTCTTTCTTTCAACTTTTCCTCTTCTCCACTCTTACTCTCCCTTTTTTTATCTCAAACTCTTTACTCTTTACTCTTTCTCTTTGGTGGCACTTATGTCAAAAATCAAATTAAGTGGCACATAATGAGTTGTGTCATATGATATTATCAAAAAAATCTTTAAAAAATAAAAATAAAAAACAAGAATGCTTATTAAAAATCAAAAACCAGTAGTCGAAGTACTCTCACATCATTAGAAGCATAACAACAAGAATATCAAAAACATCAAGGTTTGATTTTAGTTGCTAATTTGCTCAAAATTACTAATTTGTTTTTAATTAATAATTTGTTTCTAGTTAATAAAAATCAATTTCGATTCAATTTCTTCTTGTATTTATTTAGATATATTTTAAATTTATATTTTAAACTTTAATATTGAATATGACTACATTTTTTGTATAATGCCCTTTTAAATATTGAATAGAATTGTATTTTTTGTATAATACCTTATAAATATTGAATAAACACTAGATTTTAACATATATATTGGATTTCTCTTTTTAACTCTAATCTTTCGTGTCTCTTCTTTTAATTAAGGTTAATACTTTTATGAAATTATGAATTCCAAATATTGTATAGGCATTATATATTTGACATGTGTTTTAGTTTCACCTATATAATTAGTAATCTTTCCATTTTCTTTTCTTGAGATTGAAATGAAAATTGAATCATAAAATGAAAATTAACGTTTAATAAAGTTTTCTCACTAAATAATTATTAGTATTAAACTTTGTTAAAGAAAAATAGAGAAAAATATAAAAAAATTTAATTTTTTAGAAGTTGCATCCACCCGACTCAAACCAAGACCCGTATGAGTGGATCATGAGCCTACCCCTTCAATTCGACACTTGAAATGACTCAATCTGAAAAAGCAGAGATTCAAGACGACCTAATCCGAACCCACCCAATCTGACCCGTCTACCAGGTCTACCTCGCGGTGATCTCTCTTTTGCTTTGTTTGTCAATTTCCCCTTTCTTCGGTTAAACATCAATTTTAGTCCCTCAGCTTTAAAATTTTAAGTTATTTTTGTCTATCACCTTTTTTATATGCTTTTTTAGTGAAAAATGTATTTTTTAATTCGTTATCAGTTAATCAATTAAATTTATCTAAATATATATATTTTTAATTTCTTAACTTAAAATTGAGAGATAAAAAATATACATATATTAAAAATTGAAAAACAAAAAATATATATATTAAAAGTTAGGAGACTAAAAATGTAATTCAAATAGACTTAATGAATTAATTGAAAAAAGGATTAAAGAGATGCATTTTTCATAACTAAAGGAAAAAAGCATTAAAAAGTTAAGGAATGAAAATTCTAAAAAACCTTAAAAGTTAAGAGACCAAAATTAACATTTAACCCTTTTCTTCCCTTCAATTTCTTCAGTCCCTCTTGGTTTTCTTTTGTTTACCTTCCATTAGGGGTTTTCTCATGTAGAATCCAAAAACCCCAAATATCATTTCTAGATTTTTCCTTAAAAACCTAATATCCCTTGCTAAGCTTCTTTTGCTGGTAAGTTTTGAATGAACCTCCTGAGCTGCGGTATTCTGCTTTTGTAAGTTATCATCCAGAATCCCAGCTGACCAACAATATCGCTCAACTCATAATCAAAACAATTTACCTGTTTTTCTATAAATAATATTATTAATAATAATAATTTACTTCCTCCTCCTTTACCATTAGAAACAAAAAGCAACACAGGAGCTCATGTCATCCACTTACAAAACATATTGCATGCGAAAACGAAAAAAAACAAAGCCATCTTCCAGGTAATGGATCAACTGAAATTCACCTTTTACACCTATGTTCGTAATAAAAATATAAGAACCTATATATTTGTTAGACTAGAAGAACGAACTTGGATTGTAAGTCTGTTAAAATGTCATTTCGAGGAGTTCAACCGTGACAGTAGTTCCTCAGCAACTTTACTTGTAGGGATTACCTCCTCATTAAAGCCCCCAGTCTGAAAGTTCTTCAATTTTACAATCCCTTCATTCAGCTCTCTTTCACCAACAAGTACCATCCAAGGGATCTTTGATTCTTTAGCATATTCTATGTGCTTTGCCACCCTTTTATGGATCTTGAATTCTGCCTTGATATTGGCATCCCACAGCTTGCTAACCAGCTCTGCAGCCACACTGAGTTCAAGATCAAGAACAGCAACCAGCACCTGAGTTTCTGTGGATTGTGTTGTCTGTCAGAAAAAACAAAAGGAACAAACACAGAACATCAGTACCTCACACAATAATCGGGCTTCTAGCACTAAAACTAGAAACTAAATTTTACAAATAGCAATTGACCATTCATGACTACCACTTTTGTTTCCAAACAGAATGTCAAAGAACCACTCAACCACATGTTGTACCAACTAAACTTATATGAGGAGTAAGAAAGAATTGATCATAGTCCATTATTAACTACAGGAAGGGCATTTTGTATGTGGGAGAACTTTCTGCGGGTACTTGTAGAAGATGTTCTAGCATGTTTTAACTTTTAATCACCTGGCTCTTATCTATCTGAGCTTTCTCTTCCATTATAGTCAATACTCGCTCAATTCCAAGACTCATGCCAACTGCTGGAACCTGCTTATTACCAAAAATTCCTACCAGATTGTCATAGCGTCCACCAGCACCAATTGAACCCACCTGCGTCCATAAAGGAGAATTATCATCAAAGAAGAAAACAATAACAATAAATCAACAAAATACTTGATGCATGAAACATCTGACTATTCTAGCGTATATATGTAAAGGTGAAGGATGGTGAAGAATTAAATAACATGTTCAATTTTTTCCTCCATACCATTGCATCTACAATATCTAATTCAATAGGAAATTTGACTCCCACAGCTGGGGTACATACCAGTATCACATTATTGATCTATAGAGCTGTCAGTCTATATAACTTGAACAGGTAAACTCAAACAGAGTCCAAGTTCCCATAGAATAAGATCTCACCACGTCAAATAAAGCAGTTACGGAACCAAATAGAGGAACCAAACAATAAGATTTGACCAAGGTAGAATGGTATGCTAATGATTATGTAACTTGAGTTGAAAAGAACTGCTCCTTTGCGAGCACTGAAATAACCAAACATGTTTAGATACATTTCAAGCATTCAGAATTCAACCACTACATTTGATTTGCTAAATGCACCAAAGAGATCTTTAAACAGAATGACCAAATAAAGGATAGCATGCAATGCCTCTATCAATAAAATGCACATATCAAAAAACATTTACCTGCACCCCTCCTTTGAAAGAAGCTTCAAATACAACTCCCGTATAATAATCAAGACCTCTGGCAAGACTCAAGTCAAAAACCACTTTGTTTATGCACCTTGATGTCTTCAACGCATCAAACAGAATCATCAAGTCACTGAGAGCTTCTTTAGATGCATCATGTTTGAGAAGCTCACTAGCCTCATTTCCTTCCTGTTCTGTAAGTTTAGATAGCAATTCCAAAGGAGGTCCCCTTATCTTCACAAAAGTACCAATTTTGTCTGCCGTCTCAACAGATAACCCCTTTTGTTCAACCTATCAAATTTAATTTGAGAAAGATGATAAAGCAAATTGAAGAAAGATTAAAATAAATAAATAAATAAATAACAGTGGGCAGAAACACAATAACACAAGCAATATACAGTTATTAGTTTTGCAACAACTAGGGAGAAATCTAATAAATTTTCCCAAAAAAAATATAAAAATTACAAAAGTGCAGCCAATGGAGCTGTTGCAAAGAAAAAGTAGGAATTCAACTTTCCGAAAGAAAAGGTAAAAGAAAATGATTAACATGTTACTCTTATGTAAGTGAAAACATTTAAAATGTGCTTAAATGGAGCTTGCTCCAAGAAGTTTTGAGGAAATGAATCCATTAAGGATAGAGATGTACACAATTTCACTGGGTTTACAGAGGCTGATAAATCAAACTTAAAGTCTCAGTTTGATACTTCAAAGACCAGACTGAACCGTGCAATAGGTGTAAAAGTCAACCAAAATTCATTGCATTTTAACTCAGAATGATCTTTTTCTCCGAAATGTCCCCATTTTATGCCAAAAATTAGAATTCATAGAACGTTAAAGCAATACCCATACCTATATAAATTATAAAATGTATAGGTAACACAACACTTATGTAAAATATCCATTATTAATTTAACATTTTTTAATTAAAGAAAAAAAAAAAAACCACCCCCCAATAAATTGATAAAGAAAACCTTTTAGGTAGGGTTCCTAACCAAATTAAATCAAGTATCTTCCTTTTGGTTTAGATCAGAAAATGAGCATCCTAAGTATTAAGAAGTCCC